TAAAATGTACCAATGATTAGAATGAATAATTGATAATGCAAAATAGGAAGAAAAGGTCCAAAGGGGTAGGAATAGTGGGAGGGGCAGGGGAAAGGAAAGAACGAAAAGAACAAATGATGAGAAATCGAAATAAAGTCTTTGTAAATAGGGAAGGGTGGAGGGTTGAAGGGAGGGCTAGGAATGGGGAAAAAATAAGAACCAAGATGCATCACATAAAGGTACAAGTTCCCGATGAGAAAAGTAATTGTGTTGTATACCTAAAATGTACCAATAAAAGAATTTTTAAAAAATACTCAGAGAAGAAAAATTTGTATTCTTCACCCCGACCTTTAGACACCCTTGTGTTTGTGGAGTTAACATACATTGAGGATCATATATTTAAAGTTTTATTTTGAGGGTGCAAATTGGAACATTTCAAGTATGCCAGTCATAATCTCTATGTGTTTCAATTCCATTGTGCCTGTTAAATTTGTAAATGCTGGGCATCTGTGTCAATAAAGTTGGGTAAACAAGAGGATTGTGCCTTATTCTGTCAGACATTTAGTTATGAAATTTGACTTTTAAGATGATTTCTACTTTTGAAGTCTGTTAGTATTTCTCTTTGCATATATAGACAGCTCAACTATTAGATAATAAGTTTGACGTTTCAAATGGCTTTTCCTTTAAAAATACTGGTGCAGAGTATTCCCCTATGTTTGTCATATATCTCTTTTCCCTTGCCTCACACAAGAGGGCATGGGAATAACAGAAGCCAGTTCATGACCAGGGAGAAATGTGGGAGAGCCATAAGCATTGGGAGCAGTATGGTCTTAAATCTAGTTTTAAATCATGCTTAAAGGACTCTGGTATTAGAAGATTGGAGGGTTTAGGATTATTGGATCCTGTCTCTGCCACTTACCAATAGAGAGGCTGAGGAAGGATTTCATCATTTTTCAGTCGGTGGCAACTTAGAAAAGATCCACATAGAAGATCCATACAGAGGAGCACACATGTCATGAAAATAAGGTGTGAGGACTTCGCACAAGCAGAGCACATCCATGGGATCACTCACACACACACACACACACACACACACAAGCAGCCCCCTGGAAGTTCAGCGATGCTTCTGACTGCTTCACTCTTACTACTAGTTTCCTCCTGCAGGGAAAACACTGTCCTGATACATTAATCTTGCCTGTTTTGTACGCTTTATAATTGGAATTACATGATTTGTACTTTTTTGTGTTGGGTGTCTTTTGCTCCACATATGTTTGTGAGGCTAAATCCATGCTGTGATGTGTAGCTGTAGGTCATGCATCTTATCATATGACAGGCCATTGTACAAATATACCACAATTTGCTCATACACCCTACTGCTGATGAACATCTGGGCTTCTTTGTTTTAGTAATTATCAATAGTTCTGCTATGGATATTTATGTAGATAACTTTTGATACAGCCTTTCTATTGGATATATACATAGAATTGGAACTTCCGGGTTTAACAGAATGCTACATTCAGTTTTGGTAGATAAGGCCAGCAGTATGTAAGAATTCTGCTTGCTCCACATATTTATTAACACTTGGTATTGTTTGTCTTGGACAGCCAGTGGTGCACTGTAACATTAGAATTTGGATATTGTTCTTATTCCAGTTTTCAGATGAGGAAACTAAAGCACAGAGAGAGGAAACAACTTGGAAGTATTTAATTTTAAATAAAGATGGAATTTAAATAAAGTCTGAGTCTCAAACCCTCATTTTTAGACTACGTGATCTTCCCAACCCTTAACATCTTTTTTTGCTCTATTTTGTTTTGAGACAGGCTTGCTATGTAGCTCAGGCCTGCCTCAAACATGTTATGTAGCTCAAGCTGGCTTCAAACTCCTGATTCTCTTGCCTCAGCCTCCTGAGAGCTAGGATTACAGACATGTGCCACAATGCCCCCACTTCTTAACTTCTTTATAAAAAATGGGAATAAGTAGTATGTACCTTCCAGGGCTATAGTAACATTAAGATGAATTGAGAGATCATTTATGGGAATACCTCACATACTGTCCAGCACGGAGCAAATAGTAGTGCAAATGTTTATTTTTGGTGTGGTTTTATGATGGAAAGAGTCATTTTGAACTTACAATGTATAGACCGCTTCATTATGGGAAAGGGGTTACTGTTAAATAAATGGAGGTTTGAATTTTTCTTTATAGGTCCTGTGTGCAGTCTCTGTGTCTCATCTTTTGGAGCAAGATCTGTCACAATCTTCAGTGGCTTCATGGTGGCTGGAGGCCTGATGCTGAGCAGTTTTGCCCCCAATATCTACTTTCTGTTTTTTTCTTATGGTATTATTGTAGGTAAGGAACTTGTTCAAAATGATTTTTCTAACTTTGCAAATCATATGCCATTTCACTTGTGTCAGGTATGTTATTCAGTTAATGTAAGGAGTAAAAATGTTTACTAATAATTTACTTTTAAGACCATTTCTCCCAAAATTGTTATTTTAATATTATGTCTCCTTCAAGGCACAGGACAACGGGTTTCCATGTTAGCACTTGTCTCTAAATAGCAGTAAAAAAGAAAAGTGAGAAGAAGAAAATAAAACTTAGATATCATGGCATCTATCACTTCTCAGACTTAGGAAGTGGCCCATGTCCCATTGGGCAGTTAAAGAAGGTTCTGTTGAGATATTTGTGTTCACAAATAGCTCTTTGCGATCCACAATGTCTTCTGTCAGGCCCAAATCAAAAGTTACAGTAGAAGTAAAAAGTGGATTTTAAGACATGTTGTTTTGTTTTGGCTTTTGGTTTTTTGAGACAGGTTCTCACTATGTACTCCAGTCTGGCCTTGAACTTCCTATGTAAACCAGACTGGCCTCAAACTCCTGATGATCCCTTGCCTCAGCCTCCTGAATGCTGAAATTATAAGTATGCGCAGCCATGCCTGGCTTTTATTTTAAAATTTTTGTTTTAATTTTTATTTTTAGAGATAGGTTCTCACTATGTAGTTCAGGCTGCCCTTGAACTCACAGCAGTCCTTTTGCCTCATGGTCCCAAATGCTGAGATTATAGATGTAAGCCACCATGCCCAGCAAACCAGTTCCTTATGTGGCCCTTCTCAAGTAAGAGGGGCTGGGACTCTCTTCTCAAAGCAAAGGTTTTCAAAAGAGTTTATGTTTTCACTTTCCTACTCTTGAACCAATGAAGGGTGGGGTCTTACTGACTACTTAGATGCCTTCAAGGCATCTTTCCCATTGTCCTAATGCAAAGTTCTTGGCTTCTTTTTAATGCTAATCTTTTCAGCAAACATGCTCCCCTTTAATCTTGCAGGTTCTTTCTAGTGAAACTCAAAAACTTTAAAAATCATTCAGCTATATCATTTGCTCTGAATTCTCAATGTGAATCTGGCTAAAAGCCAACAACTGTACCTAGTCCACAGCCTGAATGTTGGGTGGCCTTGAAATTTCCTTCACCAGATTCACTAGTTTGCTACCCTTAATCTCAATCTCCCACAGAGTCTCAGGGCATGAGCAAAAACGTAGACATATTTCTTTCTTTTTTTTTTGGTACCGGGGATCAAACTCAGGTCCTTGCGCTTGCACAGCAGGCGGTGAAACCACTGAGCTAAATCCCCTGCCCAACATATTTCTTGCCAGAGCATAACATGCATGGTTTATAGTACAACTGCCAATGGAGTTTTTATTCCTCACTGAAACCTCCTGAGCCTGATCTTTCTGATCTTTACTGTATACATATCTATCAGTATTCTGGTCTTCTGAGCTCTACTAGAATCAAGATCAGCTTAAAGCAATTCTAGGGCTGCTCTAGCCTGCATCTCCAAATTTTTCCAAACTCCTTCCATGAACCAGTTCCAAAGGCTTCTAAACCACCTGGTCACATAATCACACCAACAACCCCATTTCTTTGGTACCAAAATTTGTCTTAGTTATATTCTCATCACTGAAACACAATACCCAACACCAACAATTGAAAAGAGGAGTGGTTTACTTGCGCTCATGGCTTTAGGTTTCAATCCATAGCCTGCTCATTCCAAGGCAGAACCAGCATGGAGGAAGGAAACCACCCTGGGCCAAGGAAAGCTGCTCACATCATGGCAGCCAGGAAGCAGAAAGAGAATGAGGAGCTAGGGAGGGTGGTATACTCTTCTAGATCAAGCCTTTAGTGACCTGCCTTTTTTTTTAATCCAGGCCTTACCTCCTAATGTACCTATAGCATATTCAGCTATAACACCCCCATGATCAATTCATCTTCCAAAAGTCCTGCCTTGAGTGCATGATGCTTTGGGGGAACATTCTAGATGTAAACCATAACAAAGGGTAAAATTTGCTGAGCATCAGTTCTATGCAAAATCATGTTCCAAGGACTTTCCTGTGTCTGGTATGAGCTGGGTGGTCTCATAAGTGAGACGATATGAAACAGAAAGAGCTAGCACTAATAGGCAATCTCTGGGGTCAGACCAAGTGGGTTAGCTATGTCTGCTTCCCAGCTGTGAGAGTATAAATGTGTTTCTTTTCTTTTTTTCCCCCTCATTTTTAAAATGAGCATGGTCAAAGCCTCCATCTTGTAGGGTTTGGTAATGATTGCTTTGACATAGTGGAAGGAAAGTTAGCATAACCACAATTATTAGTTTTGTGATCTTAAAAATTATTCAACTTCTCTGAGCTTCCATTTTTATTTTCTATAATGTAGACTCATGAATTCACAGAGATAGTATGGCTGTTTGTGAGGTAATTATATTAAGAGGCACACAGAGGAGTTTAATACATATATGTTCCTTTTTACAATTCCTTTCTCACCTCTTAGTTCAACACTATAAGAGCAGTTTTGGGCTATTAAAGAGGTTCCACTGAATAAGAAATAGTTGTGTAATAGATTAAAGAATATAGAAAATACAATTACAATCTAAAATATCAGAATAACATTAAACTATATTATTTGGCATAATTCTGTTTTACCAATTGATCTTTTAAGGATCTTAAGAATTGAAAATGTTATATTGTTTAGGTTTTTATACCTCGAGGAAAATAATAGCTTGCCAATTTTCTTTTTTATTTTATTTTATTTTATTTTAGTTCTTTTATTGGTACATTTTAGGTATACAATTCATTTACATTTACCATTGGGTGTTTGTACCTGTACATGATATATCTTTGTTCTTACTTTTTTCCCCATTACCTGTGCACCTTTCACCCAAAAATGGATTTCATTTCCATTTGTTTTCTTTTCTCATAGGTTTTCCTTTCCCTCTTTTCCTTTCCCCTTCCCCTTCCTTCACTCCTTCGTCTTTGGACCTTTTTTCCTATTTCAAATTATCAATTATTCATTTTAATCATTTTAACCCTTGTTTACACTATCAGTTTCTCACACCAGAGAAACTATTCGGTATTTACACATGTGTGTCCTATTTATTTCACTTAAGAGTATGGCCTCGATATGCATCCATTTAGCTATAAATGACTCTAGTTTTTCATTCTTTATGGCTGAGTAGTACTCCATTTTATAAAAAGCCACATTTTCTTTATCCAGTTTCCAGTTGATGGACACTTGTAGCTTGCCAGTTTTCAAGTGAATCTAAGCCACACAGCCAAACCTGTAATTCAGACTCCTATTTTCTCAGTAACTTCACTGAGGCAGGAAAAAGACATTGTGGTGTGAGGTTAGGGATGTTGTGAGAAAGGTGATGGTGATACAGGAAATACATCCTAATGACTTGCTGAAGCTTCTTTCTCATAATTTCTTATTGTTTTTCTGACAAGAACACTTCAAATCAATTCTTTGCATTCTTTTTTCTTCAGAATTTATGGTTTTAATATTCCTTGGAAAATTCTAATTTTCTCTTTATTTTCTTGATAACTGTACAACCCGTTGAAACAAAAGAGAGGAAAAACCCGTTTTTGTGGACAACTGATATAAACACGATTTTCTTTAGATTTACCTTAGCCAAAGTAGAGTTTAGAAGCCTCTCCTCCCTTCCCTATTTGGAATGGTTTGGTCATTGAAGATAGTCTTTTGAGTCTCACAGCTGTACAGCTGTAACATGGAAATGATTTTCTAATACAGTCTGAGGCTATGTCTATGTAACCCCTTCATACATGGGTGAAAAGTGAAGAAAACCACAATCTAATGACTAATTTTAGTACATACTATATTATATATTTTAATACTTACTATATTCTAGGTACAGATACTAAATTTTACATTTTTTAATTTTCACAACTCTCTTATGAGATTGTTTTAAAGCCAAGGAAACAAAGAATTAGAGTCTTAAGTGACTTTCCAAAGTCACAGAACTAATCATGTAGTTGAAAGATTTGACTTAGCCGTGTATAACTAGTAACATGTAAGTGCAGTAAGGAATGAAACCAACATTCAGTGCTGGTGTCCTATCTGTGTTGGTAGGGAGGGTTTAGGCGCTTAAGGACAGGCAGAATGTGGTTGGGTGGGTGTGGGTTGTGAGGGGAGTGAGGACGGTGTGAGGAGGACATCCAGAACCCAAAAGCACAGAAGCATGAGACAGGATGGAAACAGCAGTCTTTCATGCATATTTGTGGAGGGATGCACCAGTTAACATGGTGAGTTCCAAATATATTAAAGCACAGTGCGCAACAGAGGCCTGATGAGCAAAGGTTTAGGTCTATCACGGGTGCGTGATGTAATGAGTGCTGTTGGACATCAGTTTTGATTGGTGGGAAAAGCCATGGAGGTTGAGACTACTTTTAGGTGGTCCTAGATCAGATCAGAAAATACTAAGAGGTGAACCAAGGCTGCAGCAATGCAGAGATGGAGGTTGATAATTTAGGCATATGTGTGATAAAGACCTGGGTGTCTGGCTTGATGTGTCAATGTAGAGAACAATCAGAGAGAGCTTCTCTAAAGAACAGCTCATTTATTTGGAATTAGAATAGCGTTGTAATGGGAATACAGGTAGCATAGAAAATGAAGCATGTTGAAGGAGGTTGAAGCAAGGGTCTGTTTTTAAAGGTGAAATGAGAGATTTCATAAGATATTTTGAAACAAACATTCTTGGCTACAAAGATCAATAACAAGGATGGTGCCAGTCCAAGGTTAAACGGTTGCTGGGAAGATGTTCTTGTAGAAGTGTTGTCTGTGTCAGGTTGTGGCGGCTTCTGTGATGGGTTGTGGTCCTGGCTGAGCTTTTGTGAGTAGTTCTTGTGATCAAGCGTATGTACATGAGATCTCCACAACTTCCAGCTTTATTTCGTTTTTGATTACGGCTTGACATCTTTGATTACATTTTGATTCCGACAACTTTCACAAATGTGAGCGGATACAGAAAAAGGAAGCTTGTGGTTGTGTTGTGCTCTCACCCAGAAGTGTGAAAAATGGAACTTAGAGTGTGCCAAAGAAATGTTAGAAAGTAAATATATTTAAGTTTTACCTACTTAAATTTAAAAAATTATGTTTTACTCATGTTTGTGCTTCAAATGGTCAGTTGTATGGGCATTTAGTTTTTAAATTACAGTATTATGCTGAAGGTCGGTGCTCAGAACTTTTTCACTAACAGTGTCTAACCAAAAACAGACTAAGGACTGCTTAAAACAGTGGTTTCTAAACTTTTTAGATGGGATTATCTACTCTTTTATTTAGGACCCCAAAGAGCTTTTAATTATATGGATTATACTTGTATTTATTTGGCTGAAATTTATTATATTTAAAGAAATTTTAAAAATTTTTTGTAATTCGTTTAAAGATAATAATTCAGTACATGTTAATATGAATAACCCATTTACTGTGAAGAATAACTCTTCTCCAAAACAAAAAATTAACAAGATAAGTGGTATTTCTTTTTACATATTTGTAAATCTCATGTCTGGCTTTATAGAAAATATGGGTCCTCCTATCTTCTGTACCAAATCTGTTGTAGTGTGCTATTTGGGTGTTTTTTTGTTTGTTTGTTTGAGGCAAGGTCTCTCTATGTAGTCCAGACTGGCCTTGAACTTGCTGTGTAATCCAGGCTGGTCTCGAAGTTCTCCTGCCTCAGCCTCCTCAGTGCTAGGAGTAGAGGTTTGCACCACTATGCCTGGCACAATATGTGTTTTTGATTGAAGAATAGGAAAAAAACCCTGGACTTATACAAAAATATAATTCAAAAGGCAAGAGTTTCTAATAGTCTTTTCAGGCAATTTGATATTATACCAAAACTTGGTAAGTTATAATTTCCTAAAGATTAATTGAATATGGAACCTAATACCATATCAGTATACTTTTCTTAGTAAGGCCATTTGTTTATGCTGTACTTGGCTTTTCATTCAAACTTGATTTTATAATATCATGAATGCATGTTTGAAAAATATTGGTGCTCTGAGTATTACTAGAATTTGAAAATGTTATCACATTTCATTATAAAGCATCAAAAGTGATGTTAACACTTTTTTAAAATTTTTCTTGGCTTTTGGAGACAACGTCTCTCTATGTAGACCAGGCTGGGCTTGAACTAACTGTGTAGCCCAGGCTGGCCTCAAATTCACAATTCTCCTGTCATGTCCTCCTGAGTGCTAGGATTACAGGTGTGTGCCCCCATGACTAAGAGTCACTTGTTAATATTACCAACAAACTCATTAGAAAATCTTTATATATTGGGAAATTATCAAATTCATGGTGGTAGATACCAATTTTCTAAAATTCTCATCTTTTGCTGGAAAGCTTGAATTTTATCATTTGTGGCAATCACTGTCCGTTGTTTCCCTTGTTAGTTCATTTTTCAAGAAAATAGCTGTCAAATACACAAGGTGAATAACCACAGTTTATCTATCAGACATTCTTTCAAGTAAAAAAACCAGGCAAGTTATGAAAAAAAAAATGGCTATTTTACCTGGGTACTAAAACAATTGCTTAAATGCTTTTCCTCCTAGAAGCTCTTGTAATTCAGATGAAACATTTAGAACGAATTTGTTTTTATAGTATGTGGTGGTAAAAGTGATAAGGTATAAAGTTTAGTACAAATACTTTGATTTGTTCCAAAGTTTTTAAAGTTTTATTTCTCTTTTGCACCATCAGCGAAAATGTGAACATAGTGAAAAAAGCAGAGATCATCTTGGTACTTTTGTAAAAATGGTTTAGTCTTGGCACCCCGGACTTCCCAGCCCCCATGACCTCTCTTTAATAACTGCTGGCTTAAAGTCATCCAATACAGATATAGGGAGATTTCAGGCCATATTCTGCTTTTTTGAAATTTTGAAGAAAATGTATTCTAAATTTATGCAAAAAATTTTTAAAAATTTAAAAAACAGTGACATAATTTTATCTGAAATCTACATCCTTGAAATCATTTTTTTTTAAAAATTCATTTTAGTTTAAGGTTAAAAGTATAAAAGTTGCTGTTTCTACTTTTGGGTCTTGGCATTTAGTAACCTGCAATGTCTTTTTAAAATCATGTTTCCAGTGCCTAACATTTCAGAGTCTGACAATGAAGTCACAGAAAATAAATCCATTCCCTTTGCAAAGGTTCTCAGAAATACAGCCTCTTTTAAGGGTGACACATTTTGACAATGAAATTGATTTTCCAGAAGCAGGTATTATTTCATATCTTTTTTTAATGATACTGGAGTATGACTCCAGGGCTTTTGCACTGAGCTACATGTCCAGCCCTTTCCTCTCCCGTCCCTGTGCTGTCCCACCCTTTCCCTGTCCTTCCCTTCCCTGTCCTTCCCTTCCCTTCCCTTCCCTTATTTTGAGATGGAATCTCACTGACTTGCTAGGTTGCCCAGGCTGGCTCAGACTTGTGCTCCTACTGGCTCAGCCTCCCAGAGTGCTGGGATCATAGGTGTGCACCCCCAAAATTACCTTTTTTTTTTTGGACCCAGGGATCAAATTTGGGACCTTGCCCTTGCGAGGCAGGCGGCAGAACCACTGAGCTAAATCTCCGGCCCAAAACCACCTTTATTTAATGTCTTTCAGGGTCCTATATGTAATAATGACAACTGTGTAAGTTAATCCAACTCCTGTTTTAGTTAGATAATATGGAGATAGAAGGAGTCTAGAAACTCATACTCTGAAGTTAACCAGTAAGAGAATGTCCTAGCGGAGATTTGATTTACTCCTTTCTTTCTTTTATTCCCATGCATTTAAAATAATGAGATCTTAGGGTCAGGATTTAGCTCAGCAGCACAGCATCTGGCAAGTGCGAGGTCCTGAGTTCAATCTCTGCTACCAAAAACAAACAAACAAATACCCAAAATAATAAAATAATGAAATATTTCTTAATTTATTTAATGTCTTTTTATGTTTAGGTCTTGGATGCGGTTTATTATACACTGCAACAGTGACAATTACGTGCCAGTATTTTGACAGCCGCCGAGGCCTTGCACTTGGCCTGATTTCAACAGGTACAGTTCTTTCTTTCTTTCCTTCCTTCCTTCCTTCCTTCCTTCCTTCCTTCCTTCTTTCCTTTGTCTACTGTGTAGCTCAGGCTGGCCTTGAACTCTCAATCCTGCTTCAGCTTCTTGAGTGCTGGAATTACAGATGAGTGCTACCATCCCTGGTTTATAACAGGTACATTTTCAAAATAAGTATTGTCACTATTTAGCCTTCTAAACAAAGTTAAAATTTACCAAGCACAGGGCTGGGGATTTAGCTCAGTGTTTTTGTGCAAGGACCCGAGTTCGATCCCTGGTACCAAAAAAAAAAAAGCAAGCACATATATGTATACCCATCCATTACCTAGCATGTCAGATAGCAAAATGATTCTTTTACTCTACTCCTAGAAGAAATATTTATTTTTTACCATAAAATACATATGTGAAAAATCTGGGGCCAATGTATGTCCAATATAATATATGAAAAGAAAGCTTATGGGTTCAGTATATTGAGAGCCACATACTGGTGAAGGCTTTGCTAAAAGAAGCAGAGAATGCTTCTGTAAACACCTTATCCCTGAGGAATATAAGAGAAAGGGAAGGAAAATGGACAACCCCAAGGCCACTGGCAGAAAGACTGGTGCTTGCCATCTCTTTACCTGCACATATTATGGAACTTATCTTTTCTCTACTAATTTCTGAATACATCTCACTGTCCTATGTGCACATCCAAGCACCTGGCTGTTTACTCTTGTTATTTCTTTAACGATCAAGAGATGATCACAGAAGAGAAAATCTATGTATAAAATACAGATTTTAAATACTCCTGGACTCCTCTGGGAGTTTTAAAGTGGTGTTTCACTTTTCAGATGAATTTTTTAAAAGCTGCTTAGGGAACTTATCAAAATTTTTGTGGGTAGTATTTTATGAATTTATTTAGGGGATATAGCTGCCAAGCTACCAAAAGCTGTAAGTTTACATAAGCTACTCGTTAGTTGGCAGGTGTTCCTGGGAGGTCAGGCTCTTAGACAGGCTACAGGACCTACACACTTGCTTTGTTCTGAGGCCACCCCAGGGCAACAAGGAAATTACTGGACACACTGAATTGAGTTGGCCATTTACTCATAGTAATACAAGGATGGATTGCCAGGTGGGAAATGTGAACCATGGTTCAGGAAGAGACAAGGCCAGAGTTTGAAGACATAGCCAAGGCAGAAATAGGGGAAAGAACACAAAAACAACAGATGAGGAATGTAGCACGGTCAGAATGCAGTTGAAAGTACCTGTTTGGATCTCACACGAGTATGTCGGGGTGTAAGAGTAGGCACGGCAGCCTAGGGGACAAAAGGTCTCACCTGTACTGTGTTTGTGAGGAGGCAAAATGTGTAGAGTTACCACACAGACCCAGGAGCCAGACTGCCTGGTCTTGAATGCTGCTTCTGTCACTCATTAGTTGCCTGGTGTTGGACAAGGTACAACTATTCTGTGCCTCAGTTTTCTGCACTGGGAAGTGGGGATAGTGAGAGGGGAAGGGGTTCCAGCTTCAACTCACAGGGAGCCGGTGAGGTGGGGGAATCAGGGAGAGGGATGAAGCTACTGTCAATGAAAGGGATGACAAGCAAAACAAAGTAATGTAATTTTTTTTAAAAACCTCAAAACAAACTACCTGAAATACGGTAACCTAGTTGAAAGGAAAAATATAGACACAAAATGAAAGTTTGGGGGCAACATTTTCTTCCACAATAAACGAGGATTGGTAAACTTATGCCCATGGATCCAGTCTAGCCTACTGCTATTGTTTGTCTAGCCCACAAACCAAGAATTGATTTTGTATTTGAAAATGATTTTTAAAAATCAAAAAAGAATATTTCATGACGTGTGACAATTATGTGAAATTCACTGTCTATAAATTCATTGGAACACAGCCATTTGATCCTTTATGGTTCATCTCTGGCTGCTCCCACACTTCCAGGGCAGAGCTGAATTATCAGGATCGGTAGGTATTGTGCAGACCGCAGGGCCTTATGTGTTTACTCTAACCCTTTACAGAAAAAGTTTTTGGATTCAGGCCTGGTATTAATGAGCTCATCCATGCATGAGTGCATCTCTGTACAGTTTCAGTTTCTCTGGGCATCACCTAATCTTTTTTAATAGTGTTTAATCTAGACATGGATGAAAGCATAATTTATGTTTTCATTTTGCCCTTTATATTGGCCATTTTTCAATTAGGAGGATGTTCTTTTTGAATATTAAAAATTATAGTTTTATGGTTTAAAAAGTTATACAAAGAAACTTTTTTTTTCCTGCAATGCTGGGGATCAAATCTAGGGCCTCATGCATGCTAGGCACCCCTGAGCTATACACCTGACCCCACGAGGAAAAGCTGAAATTACTCTCTATTGCCCTGAAATACTTCCTACATCTTTCTAAGCCATCGCCCTGTTTTCTTGGGATGTAGACTAAGATAAGTAATTTGATTTTCCTTGCCCTCATCATAAGTTAGTATATGGTAGGTGTTCCGTAAATCTGAATTTTTAGTAATCTACTGAATTCAGTAAATCTGTTGGATTGATTTGCTGTGTTTCTCTTGTATGTCATGATAACAGATCAGCTTGGTTGGTAATCAGTGGAAAATTGTTTATTTTCTCAACTTAACGTTGAAACAGGGAACTTTCAAAACACTAAGAATATTTTAAGTGGGGCGGGGATTTAGCTCAGTGGTTCCGGCGCCTGCTTCGAAAGGGCAGGGACCCGAGTTCAATCCCTGGTACCAAAAAAAAGAGAATATTTTAAGTATCTAATGGTGTAGCAATTTGCTATACTCTCTACATAGACATAATGATAGATAAAAATGACAAATGAGCAGTTATTGGGAGGTGGTGCAGCACGGTAGTCCATGCAGCCACCCAGTTTTACTTGGTACTTTCCATTTACTCTAAAGTACTTTAACTTTGGAAGCATGAACTACTTTTATAAGACTAAGGAAAGGATTACATTTGTCTATTATTACTTGTCAATAGTCAGCAAACATTTACTCTTTTAGTATTGACCAAGTTACTATCTTAGCTCCCAATACCTTAACATAAACCATCAATATATATATGCAAAGATTCTTCTCCCTTCTTTGGAATGAAGAGTTAACTTGAAAAATGTGAAGGCCCAGGGATTTAGCTCAGTGGTGCCGCTGCCTGCCTCACAAGCACAAGGTCCCAAGTTTGATCACCAGTACAAAAACAAAAAAAAAAGTGAAAAAGGGACAATGGAATTCCCCCCCTTTTTTTTTTGGTACCAGGGATCGAACTGGGGACCTTGTGCTTGCGAGGCAGGCACTGGAACCACTGAGCTAAATCCCTGGCCCTGGAATTCCCTTTTAAAAATATTTTCTTACAACTCTAAAGTATAAAACCAGTGGTTATTTGTAACAATTTCTCTCTTTATTTCCCTCCCCTTCCCCTCCCCTCTTTCTTTCATAGTGTCAAGGATCAAACCCAGGGTCTGGAGCATGCTAGGCAAGCCCTTTATTTCTGAGCTACACTTGCATTCCTTTCCATTTATGTATTTAGTTATTTATTTTTAATTTTGAAACAGGTTCTCCCTAAGTTGCTTAGGCTGGACTTGGACTTACAACCTTCCTGCTTCAGCCTCCAAAATAGCTAGAATTATAGGTATTTGCTACTGTGCCCTGCAAGAATTTTTGACAAGCTGAATTTTTACTTTATTTCTTTTTCTGTACCACTCAGGTTCAAACCAAGGGTTTTGCATTGAGATACACACACAGCCTTTCTTAGTTTTCTTCTTTTTTTTTTTCTCAACTTGGAGGCAGGATCTCACTAAGTTGCTGAAACTAGACTTGAATTAGTTGTCTTTCCGTCTCAGCCTCCTGAGGAGCTGAGATTATAGGTGTGTGCCTCCCTGCTGGGCAATAAGATGAGATTTTACAGCAAACATGTTCATGTCATCAGTCATGCCTCTTGGTCCACTGGCATCCCATTGGGGTTATGCTATCACTTGGAGTAGATCTTTTTATATGTATGATCATTTAGACTATTTTCTTTTAGTGATCTTTTATTTTTTCTTTCTTTTTCACATGACATTTCCTGAAGATGTTTAAGTTTTAAAATATTCAACTTCTTTACACATTGAAAGCAGAACCAGATGAGAATGGTGCACATTAATTGGGTCGCTATAACCTGGCATTCCAGTATGTTTTGTGTGATCAATATGGAAAAGGGGCTGTTTACCTGGTTGCATGATGTAGAAACGTTTTAAATTTATACACTCAGTCAAATTCCCACTGACTGTTATGATGTTATCAATGCATTAAAATATAAGTCATTTATTCTGTTGATAGAGCAATGGATTTGAACTATCAAAACATTACAAATATCTTGAAAATAACCTATATTTATCTCAAAAATAAAATACAAAAATTTGCTCTCCCAAAGGCAATAAATGTTTAGCGTAGGGCCTGGCACATAACAAATTCAAAAAAAGTAGTTACATAATGATATATGCTAAGACTACGGGCTCCTGCTATCAGACTAAGTGTGAATCCTACTTATGTTATTTACAGCTTATGTTATCCTATTAATGTTATTTGTGATCTATGGCTAATGTCTCAAGCTTCCCAGCCCTCAGTCACTTTATTTGCGGATTGGGAGTAATAATAGGATCTATTCAATAGAATTATTAAAAGGATAAAACAAGATAATGCAGCATAAACTGCTTACCAGTGTCTGAATTATAAATTAATGTTATGTTGACATTACTATTATTGTTATCTTCACTATTTTGCGATTTTAATATACAGGTACAATGAATGCCAGTATAAATTGTGATGTTTCTAATGCTTGATCTGAGAGCCCCAAAGTATGAGATAAAGACTAAACAGCTCCCATTTCCCTTTTAGGTTCAAGTGTTGGCCTTTTTATCTATGCTGCTCTCCAGAGGATGCTGATTGACTTCTATGGACTGGATGGATGCTTGCTGATAGTTGGTGCTTTAGCTTTAAATATATTAGCCTGTGGCAGCTTGATGAGACCCCTGCAGGTCTCCAATTGTCCTTTGCCTGAAAAACCAGCTCCAGAAAATGTGCTGGACAGATATTCCATTTACACTGAAAGAGAAAAGAACCAGGAAGAAAACATAAACATTCTGGAGAAGAGCTACAATAATGAGGCAAAATGCAAAGGTGCTTTGGCCAATGGTGACTGGAAACAGGAGAATCTTCTTCATAAAAGCCCCACAACAATGGCACACGCAAAAGAACCTGAAACGTACAGACAGAAAGTTGCAGAGCAGACATATTTTTGCAAACAATTTGCCAAGAGGAAGTGGCAGTTGTATAAAAACTACTGTGGCGAAACTGTCTCTCTGTTTAAAAACAAAGTATTTTCAGCACTTTTCATCGCTATCTTACTTTTTGACATTGGAGGGTTTCCACCTTCATTACTTATGGAAGATGTAGCAAGAAGTTCCAGTGTGAAGGAAGAGGAGTCTATTATGCCTCTTATTTCCATTATAGGCATTATGACGGCAGTTGGTAAACTCCTTTTAGGGATATTGGCTGACTTCAAGTGGATTAATACCTTATATCTTTATGTAGCTACCTTAATAACCATGGGCTTGGCCTTGTGTGCAATTCCGTTTGCAAAAAGCTATGTCACATTGGCAATACTTTCTGCGATTCTAGGGTTTCTTACTGGTAATTGGTCCATATTCCCATATGTGACTACCAAGACTGTGGGAATTGAAAAATTAGCTCATGCCTATGGAATATTAATGTTTTTTGCTGGACTTGGAAATAGCCTTGGACCACCAATTATTGGTAAGATATTTATTTTCAAGTCAACTCAGTTTACTCTTCTTCATTTCAATATCTCCAGATATAGATATTCAGATTTGCAAAGAATAAATCTGTATGGAATATCTTATGATGTATTCATGATCACTTTGTTATGGTTCAGAAAGCCAGTAGACTTTCTCTGTCTTTGTATTCATTCTTTTAATTGGGAGAAACTCAAAATGCTTGCTTCTCATCTGAAAATTTTTTCTTTTTAGAAAAAAATTAAGATACATTTTCATTCATGCCATTATAATTTTACAAAATATTAGGCTTAAATGCATTTTTGTTGTTTTGGTTTTAGTTCTAGGGACTGAACTCAGGGCCTCAACACTGAGCTACATCACCAGCTCTTTTTTTTTTTTTCATTTTGAGACAGGGTCTTGCTAAGTCACTAAATTGCCCAGGCTGGGCTTGAACTTGTCGTCCTCCTGTCTCAGCCTCTCAGAGTGCTGGGATTATAGGCATGTACCACCATACCTAGATTCAATGTGATGTTTTTATACATGTGTATAATATATTTTGATCATATTCGTTCCCATTACTCTCCATTACATCCCTTTTATCAACTAAATATTTAAGATTACCCTCTTCTAAAGCCTAGTCGTTCATGTTGGAAGTAGTATCATGCTCCTAACTATAAAATTGATTAAAATTAGAGTAGGGCTTGACATTCACACTATTTCTAAGAAACTCAGTTTTGTTTTACTGTCTTTTCAGGTTGGTTTTACGACTGGACCCAGACCTACGACATTGCATTTTATTTTAGTGGCTTGTGTGTCCTGCTGGGAGGTTTTATTCTGCTGCTGGCAGCCTTGGCCCCTTGGGATACATGTGAAAAACAACTCCCTAAGCCAACACCAACAACTTTTTTTTACAAAGTTGCCTCTAATGTTTAGAGGAACATTGGAAGACACTATTTTTTGCTACTTTATACCATATAGCAAAAAATATTTTAACAATTTTCAGGCAAACTCTAGAGTCAAGACTGTTTTCTCACAGCAGGATTTGACTGTGGCTGACTCTTGAGTGCATTTTTAAAATTTTATATATCCAACTCTTTTTGTACTCTGTATGTAGCCTTTATCCCCTGTGCCCTCCTTCCCCAAGAAATAGGACTACTTTTTATTATTGTTCATTAGTTCTTAACATTGTAAAACTTTTGACCAGCTCCTTAAGTCTTTCTCTGTGTAAAGAAGTATGGATTCTCTGCAGACTCCTTAGTTCCACTGCAAGGGGCCCAGCATATCTTCAGTTTTGAAGACCATGCAAGCCTCGTGATGGGGTATGCATGAAGGCCACTAAGCAATAAATAAATCACTCTCTGTGGTAGACCTTCTAGTCAACAGACTCCAAGCCACTTCATCAGGAAGTGAAAGTAGTTATACAACAGCATCAAGACTTGCAGTGGAACAAACTGATCACTTAAAAGATATTTTATAGTCATCAATTTTCATTATTTTATTTTACTTGCCTTGATTTAGCACCCTTGATTTAGTGGTGTTTGGTGCCCTCAGCACATAAACTGTTTCAGTTCCTAAGGCGTTTGCTGGGATGCAGGCAGACTCTAAGCAGAAGAGTAGCCTTGCTTCATGGTTGGCCACGAGACCTTTGCTCACTTGTGTTTGTCAACATCCACTTAGCTGCCATTTCCCAGGGAGTTCTGACTTTAACTGCTTCCAAATAGGAATGCATTTTTCAACCATTCCATCTGGCAAATGGGGCACCTCCATTTGCTTTTGGCACAGTGGGGATTGTTTGAAAGTGCTTGCATATCTTCCCAATGAAGCATTTGTTTGCTACAATCAGATTTTTCCACCATCACATTTTAATTCAGGGCCAGAACTAAAACAGTGTGTGTGTGTGTGTGTGTGTGTGTGTGTGTGTGTGTGTGTGTGCGCGTGCGCGCGCGCGCGCACGCTAAGTCTACACGGGACAGGAAAGAAGCAATCAGAAATTGACATCCTTGGGCCGAGAATTCAGCTCAGTGGTTCTGCCACATGTCTCACAAGTGCAAGGACCTGGGTTTGATCCCTGGTACGAAAAAAAAAAAAATTGACACCCTTATCTAACCTTGCTTAAATTCTAGGAAGAAAATAATGTTTAATGAATTGATATTTTCCCCCAAAGAAATGGGTTTTAAACATTGGCATGCATCAGTATCCCTTTTGATCTCTTAAAAATATAGGTACCTGAGTACCATGGTTAGAGATTTTAGTTTAATTCTATAGATCTAGGCTGTGCCCCAAACATCTATATTCTTAACAAGTTCTTCATATGATTCTGATAACATAGCCTGTAGCTGTTAGGAGATTGGCAGGAGAAAAAACATTTATCCTCTTAAATGAAAAAAAACAAAACCCTGAGGTGAGAGGCTTTTATAAATAAATAGCCAAGTTTCAATCCCCAGTACCACACACACACACACACACACACACAATAAATAAATAAATAAATAGCCAAGTGTTCTTTAAATAAGAGGCACCCTTCCCAATGTGCCAAACTTGTCTTTTCTTTTGAAACACTTAAGATTGTTTTATTTTATACTTCTATATTCCTTTCCTTGGAAGGCGCTTGAAGCACTTTATGAGCATGAGTCCTCACAGCCCTCTGTGAGGATGGTAAATAGTACTTTCCTGTGTACTATGGAGAATCCAAAAAGGAATTAACCCTACCCAGTAATGCAATAATGGGGCTTCAGGGTACCCCAGACCTCTGCTCCATATGTTCAGACTTCTGTAAAGTTTTCTGTACCTCATCCTTAGTCCCTGAAAAGGTTAGTAAATTAATAAATGACATTTAAAAGAAAAAATTACATGTTTTTTTGTTGAAAGTTCTTATTACCAATATTATGTTCAAGAAAATCCAATAACCTAGAAAATTTTGACTTTTTAATGACCTCTCCACATTCATCAATGTTGGTAATTGTCCAAATATAGCATCACTATGTCTACTGAGGTCATCCAATGTGTGCATTTTCCACAGTTTAGGGAATGAATTTTAAGTTACAATAAAATACTTTTGTTTGTTTTGCATCAGTTCAGTTGTTTTCTTTCCTCTTCCTTTTCTTCCCAGTATAGTGGCACTTCACTTGAATGTAAACATATAAATTATCTGATATAATTCTGATTCCAGAATTTGATGGTCTGATAAGAAGAGCATGTTCAAAAACCAGTCTGCTTACGTTAACTGCCTCGTTGCTTTCCAAAAAGTTGGCATATCAGGCCTGTGTAATGCTCTTGAGAAACAAAGGGCACATTCCTATCTGACATTATTAATAAAGATATCACTTATCACTGTGTTGCTCAAGCTGATAGCAAACTCCTCGGCTCAAGCAGTCCTCTTACCTCAGTCTCCCAAGCAGTGATATTATAGTCTCAAGCTGCCAAGCCCAGCTTAATAATTCATAGAATTTTTTAATATGTTCCAGGCTTACATCATTTATAGCTAACGATAACCCTGTGTACTAGAGATTAATGCTCATTTTATAATAAAAATATAATTGTCATAATGATCTGACAACATAGTATGAATGTATAAGTAATTTCCAAAAGGAAAATAAAAAAGATTTCACTTTCTGAATGGTTTCTAACATGGCTAGGAAATGGGGCCATGTTGAGAGGGTTTCTATCAAGCCAATTTTCTTAGTGCATAGAGAAGTCACTGTTAACTTAAATAGTTTTTCAGGACTTGTACATATCCCTAGAATTGGTATTTTAAAAACATACTTAACAGAATTTACATTGATTAGAACAAAATTCTCCTTTTGTGACTCAGATACTTCTGGACCTTGGAAGTGGATTGGGCTGAGTTTGGGAAAGTTGAGGAGTGAGAGTTTGTTAGGAACCCTCCTCCCTGGCTGGTTCAGCAGCTCCTCACTCCTCTCTGCTTCTCACCTCTCCCTTGACGAGCCTCCGAGGTGCCAGGTGGTGTCTAATTCTCAGCAGGGGAATCAGGAGAGAGGTAAAGGCCCCAGGAGGAACAATTCCAACAACTAGGAGTTCCAGCACTGGGAGGTCCTGACCGAATGGTAAGTGCTGCTGAAGAAGTCCCATGACCTTGGGTAACCTCTCCTGCCACCAATTACAGTAGTATAGGGTTATTCACGCACAGAGTATTCCAGGAAATGGAAGAGCTCTATTTTGAAGAAAAGAATGTCTCACTTCCTCTTTTACTTTAGAAGGAGTGTTATACTGAACACATAAAATACACAATTTACATTAGCAGCACTGTACATACAATTTCTCCATAATCATAATCTTGGGACCTTTTCTGTAAAGTCAGTTTTGTGTGAAGGATATAAGATCTGTCTTTGAGTAAGAAGTTCACCTCAGCCAGTTACAGCAATAGAGATTTATGAGCACACAGACACTATTGGGGCATGCAGTGTACACTCTCATAAAGGTTATGACTCCACACCCATGTGCCTTGGGTTCGAATCTTAGCTCAGTCACTGTGGCTGAGTGACTGCTAACAAATTATTAGCCTCTTGAAGCCTCCATTTCCTCACTTATAAAAGACACCATAGGGCTATAGTGGAAATTAAATATGGCAATATATAGGGATGCCTGGTACATGATAGATGTCCAATAAATATTAGCTATTATTATTCTCAGGAATACAGCTTCCTAGTGCTGTACCTGAGGAGGCGCTTGGTGTTCCTGGGCACAGGTGTAAATCATTGTATTCAAGGGCTTTACTTAGAAGAGTGACAATGAGCCTCCTGTTATCCCCAACTTGTGCAGCTGTCAGGGCTCTTGTCCTCTCTCAAGCATACTCTTGTCAAAATCTTTTGTCCTTAGGAATTCATGACTCAGCACATTTTTTTTTTTTTCTGGATTTACCACCCAGAAGCTCAGACACAAAACAAAACACATGCTGTTCCTCCACAGTCCAGTTGAATCCACTTTGTAAGCTGAATCGCTATGAGAATATGAACTTTCAAGTTTTTGACCTCAAGAGCTCACATGTGAGCTGCTGAGAAACTGGGCCTGAAATTGGACAGAAGGAAAAAATAATCTGATTTGTTTACTGAACACTAATTGGCTTCAGCTCAGCCCCCACTGCCTGCCCGGGATGCCTTTGAGACTTGCTCTTGAGGGAGTACAGTAACTTGCCAAGTCTTCTGGGATTCTATTCTTAGCAGATCTCAGCCACATTAGTTACTTTATACCACATTCATTTCTTGCTCTATACAGTCATTTACTTTTGTGCTTTTCCCTTACAAAAAAGAAAAAAATTTTTTTTGTTGTTGCTTTTTTGTTTATTTTTTGAAACAGGTCTGAATATGTAGCTCAGGCTGAGCTTGAACTCAATGTATAGCCCAGGCTGGCCTTGAACTAGCATCCTCCTATCTCATCCTCCTAAATTCTGGGAGTATAGGCATGCACCACCACACATGGTAGGAAAAAAAACCCTTCAAAAATTGTTTTTTTTTTCTAAGTAGTATTTTAAAACCTTTTGGTAAACAACATTTCCAATGAAAAAAATGATTAGCTGTGATGAAGCTGCCCTGCTACAGGTCACTTTAAAACTACATGGCCACCACCATGTGTCTGTTCCTTTTTTTAAGAAATGTTTCTAATATGATAAAGGAAGTTGTTACTACTCTTAGATCTGAAAATGCCTGAATGTTTACAGCTTTAATAGGAAGATTGCTAACAGCTCACATGACTCTAGGACCGTAACAAAGGACCCTGGTGCTTTCTGAAGAGAGGTCCTTAATTAGCTTCCTGCATGCAAACTGTTTCATGTTGAGTTTCTTAGCAGGAAACCCATTGAAAACCTGTCCCAGTACAGTGGGATAATGGCACACAGGAAATGTTATCAGAGCAGAGCAAGAGGCTGATATTTTCCGAGGTTTATTGTGTGCCCAATATTGTTCTGTCCCAGCCATGTGAATCCTTGTCTCTTGAAAGATGGAAATCGGCAATGGACTAGTTCTAAAGCAAAAAAGAAAATGCAATTGTATTTGAGGAAAGAAATACAACTGACTATCCCATCAGAAGAGCAGAGTAGAACAGCAGATTTAATTAATGCACAGACCATCCTTGGAAAGGACAGCAAAGCAGGCTATTCCATTGGCAGAATAGCACTGAACAAATAATACATTTTATATTTGTAGAGTCTCAAAGAAATGTCATATATCATTCACGGGGGTTTTTTTTCTAAAAGTGTGGGGTTTCCTTTCTCTGGGAGTGCAATAGTTTGCCCCTTAGACAACCGATTGCCTTCTTTTTCAAGAGGTACAGGGGGTTGCCACTTTGATTAACCACTTTCTTTATTTCTTCCTCACCACCCAAAAGTTCAGCTGCCTGTTGGCTTTTTGTTTTTGGTTATTTATTTTTTTTTTGGTACCAGGGATCAAAACCTGTTGGCTTTTTACAAGGCAATCACTTCAAAGTCCTGAAAACCCGTCTCAGTTTCAGACACTTCACAAACAATATCTTGTCCTGATTAACTTCCAAAGGCTTTGGCAAAGCAGGTGTCTGGTGCCAAAAAGATACCTTTTATCTTTCAGCCTTTGGAATCTGACTCTCCTGGCAGGTCCAGGCAGTTCATTCCTTCTTCATCCAATAAATTTTAACTGAGCTGACAGAATGTGTAAGCAGTCTCCCAGGTGCCAAAGATAAAACAGTGAGCAAGACGGACAAAGTTCTTGACCTCTCTGAGTGTGTCAGAACCCTGGAGGGAGTCAGGAAAAGTGAGAGCACATACAGTTGTAACAGAAGCCTCAGCGCCTATGAGGATCTGGAGGTGGAATGGCTCTTCTCCATTGTCCCATAGAGTTAAGTCACATCACACTCATGCTCAGATTCACCAAAGTGGACCACGGAGCCATAGTGTCAACTTGATCATCTGTATGAGAAATATAACAGCCAAGAGGACTGTTCACTTTAGGGTCACATTTTCTCTATAGCCAAGTCCAACAAGAAGCCAAATAATGATCAGAAGGTGTTTGAGGTTCCTAGAATCAAGGTCTTGGATGGCTTGGGTTTTGGGGGGGTTGGAGGGGGCTTGGCAGAAAATGTTTATCATAAAAACTGGCTTTTAATATGGGATCTGTTTTAAGTGAATAGCTGGACTGTTGGCAAAGTCCATAATAGTAAATTCTTCTCTGTTTTATTTTGTAAACTTGTTGAATGATGTGTTTAAATGTATCCTGAGAAGATAGCCTGGCTCACCTTTTGTCACTAAAGGGACTGTCTGTGGTTAATGTCTGGCTGGGCACAGTGTTTGCCTCCATGGCAATCCTTTTGTGAGCACGTGCCCAACTCTTATTTTCTGCCCTGATGTAGTATTTGTTTAATCAGGTTATAGCCAAGTGCTACTGGTAACAGCCTTGGTGCAGATGGTCTGCTTGATGGTGTTAGGTTTGGTTGTGTAGCAGTGCTCAGGAGGCTGTCTACTTGGCCAGTCCTTAGCTTTTGCAGCAGGAGCCACCATTACCACGAGACAGACACAGGAACTAATGAATCCAGTGAATCAAGCCATGTCTGTACGTCAGTCAACTCAGTGTCTGGTTGTCTGTTTTGTGATGCTAAAACTGACCACTGGGGTTCAGTTATAAATTTCCCCATCAGAATGTCTTTACCTGATTGCTGGTGTGACTATTTATGAGCTTTGCCTGTGCTTATCTCACTACAGATTTGGAAAATGGTGCTCTTCTCCCATTTCTTCCTTTATTAGCCCACATACTGCTGTGGAGTCCCCTGTTTAAATATTGATATCTCAAGGAACAATGACTATAAGACAAATAAGATAAAATTTGATTCTCTCTCTTTATCAGTTTCAGAAAAACAAATTAATTTTCTGGCATTCTTTAAATGTGACCAATGAAGTTTTTTTTCCCTTTAGTGGCAGATTTTATTATGAACTCATGAATTCTAAATTTGGGGGGAGAGGCAGTTTCTAGCAATGGCAGTTTTTTCTTTTTTCTTTTCTTTTCCTCTTTCTTTGCTTTTCCTTTTTTTTTATATACTGTGGATTGAACCCAGGACCCTCATACTGAGTTATATCTCCAGCCCTTTTTACTTTT